GCAGGACTATACTAAGAATTAGATAGAATGTATATAACGTACTTAACAGTGTCTGGCATATAAGTGCTCAAAAAATGGGAGCTGTTTATCTTACCACTAGATTGAGGGCTCCTCAAGGGCAAAGAATTTTTTCTTAGTCTTGTAATCCCAGCACCTGCCAGATTGTTAGGGATATAGGATGTCCTCAGCAGATGTTTACTGAGTGGCACAGAAGACAGCATCACTCCAGCTGTTCTCGCTACAAGGATACTACACTACACTCCAGCTGTTCTCGCTACAAGGATACTACACTACAGTAGCCCAGATGACTTGACCTTCCAAAAACAACTCAGAATTCTCCATCTACTTTAACCTCTAACAACAATCATAGGTAGCCATTGTACGGAATACCCGTACCTCCTGATACATAAGTACTACCTAGCTGGTACTTATGTATTAATAATACATTCAATAAAAAACCTAGTAATAACTACAGGTCTCAGTGAGATGGAGGGCCAAAGGTCTCCATAAGTATGAGGCTGCAAACATTGTGAATTAGCCCATCTGGCACACAAAGTGATCACAGCATACAACAGCATCTGGATAAATTCCACCCCAGTAATGAATGGTCATGGAGGAAACTGGAAAGACAGGGTACCAGTTACTTAAGCCTATTCAACTAAATATGTCACTTATATGAAGAAAACAAGTTATGATACCATATTTATTTATAATTAACATTCTTATGGTTTCTGCAATAAATGTAAAACTCCATGGAAATTCTGTAAATTTAGCAGGCTAAAAGATCCTCCATGTTCCTATCTTTAGAAACTGAGACTTACAATAATCAAAAACAAGCTTTTCTGCCAATTTGACTAATGCTTGATTGCTTTAGATTTTTAGTGACCTTAAAAATGCTTGCTTACAGGATAGTCTGGTATTTCACCAACAGCTTTTATATTTGAGTATACCCAGATTAAGCATAATTTTTTACTAATATTCTGGGAATCTTTATCTGATCTGTAAAGAAATATAGGCTTGCTGCAGAAAAATTGGAAAATATATAGAGATAAAAATTGCCCTTGGTTCAGTGATCCAGAAATCACCCTTATTTATACTTTGGTATGATTATTTTTGATAGCTGTCACTAGTTGGGTTCAGAAACATGACTTTTAATGTTTCAGAGTATTCTCTCAAGCAATAACACACATTCATTCCCCTATTATTAGGCATTTAGTTAAGAAAAACATTTTCCACTGAATGTTTTTAAAGGCAGCTTTTCCTTTACATTAAATATAAACTTATATGAATTACTCTTTGTAAGAGTTCTACCTTTACTTCCATCAGCACTGGAAAATAAGGTCCTCTGGGCAAAGAGTGAGATAAGGGGGGATTGTCTGAACCCTGACTATCCTCAGTGAAGTTGGAGAATTTAGCAGAGGAGCAGGGATATGGGGGGGGATATATATTGAGGTATAGAAAGAAGGAATGACATGAATTAATATTCTAAAACATGAATTATAATCTTACAGATAGAATAGTTGAATCATTTTTTTAAATGCTTAATAAAGTCTTTATATGGACTGGAAGTTAATGACGTTTTATTTTTTTCCATGTTCAACAAAACAAAGCCCAATTTTAATCTATTTCAACAGGCACTATTCTGTGCTAGTCACTGTGCTCAGTAATAAAAATGTATGAAACTCTGCCCCTCAAGTTCATAATTAGGATATACTTAGCCCACATTTTTATGCTTTCATCCACAATGAATAGCATAATGATGGCTCATGATGCTGGGGAACTGCAAGATTTCTCAGCCATAAAAAATGAAGTGAGATCAACTTTCTAAGGCAGGAAAGTAGATGGTACATATTAGAAACTTTAACAAGTGTTAAAGCAAAAAATTTTCTAGTCACTGGATGGGTTAAGGAAACTTCACTGAACCAAATATCCAATTTCCAAAATATTTCAGTTAATTCATTTAATATAAATGACTTAGGAGATCGGTTTTTTAAAGTATAAAATTCTGAAGCATTATAGACTCTAGAGAACTATTTAGCATTTTATTCTATGCTCTATAGCCACCATATGTCTTAGACTTCCCCAGACAATCCCTGAATCAAATATTCTATTCCTCTGTCCCTGTAAATAGGTAGAATCCCAGAAATTGGAATCAAACCTTCACTCCCAAACACCCTGAAACTGCATACAACCCTTTGTCAGACCACATATGTGCCAGTTATTGTCTCTGCTCATTCCAGCTACTGTATTTCCCATCCCAGGGATCTACAGAACCAGCCGTACTACTTTCACCCAGAAATTGCTCCCTGAAAGGGAAAACATACTCAGGGAAACAAGTTCCTAAATGGAATGATATTGCTGGCAAAATTACAAGAACCATTATTTTCCCTCATGTTCACAATACTATGGTAAACAATTTGATACCTGTGATTTCTAGTAAACTGTTTATGAACCCTGTGAGTTCTGATCCCTCTGCTAGTTCAAAAATGGCTTGTTAACCAAAAACACCTCATAAGATAATCTTTGAGCCCTGAGGAATCCCAATAACCTACAGCTAACCCCAGCAGTGGTCATTTAGGTTAAACATAGTCTGTCTCCATGTTTTCAAGATTTATACATGCTGCCATCCGGGAAGAGCCAGCTAGTAGCCAGCTGGATATATGGGGTTCTCCAGCTTAGAAAGAGAAGACTGGGCAAAATAGCAAGACCCTGTCTCTACAAAAAATTTTTTAAGAATTAGCCTGGTGTGGTGGTACACACCTACACTGCTGCTTAAGCCCAGAAGTTCAAGGCTACCGTGAGCCACTGCACTCCAGCCTGGGCAACAGAACAAGACTGCCTCTTTAAAAAAAAAAAAAAGGTTGAGGCTGGACTTGGTTTAGAAGGCACAGGTGAGTAAGTAGTGGGTAAAGCCATAAGAAAAACTAAGCTTGCCAGAGAAGTACAAAACTAGACGAGCTTAGTCCAGAATGCTGGGATGACATTGAAGGGGCGAGAGTTAGACCAGGGTTTCTCAAGAACAGCACTAATGTTCTAAACTGGATAATTCTATTGTGAGGTGGTGTCTGGCACATCATAGGATGTTTAGCAGCATCCTTGGGCTCTACCCACTAGATGCTAGTAGGATCCATTCAGTTGTGACAATCAAATATGTCTCCAGACATTGCCAAATATCCCCCCCCGGGGGGGGGATGGTCAAAATCACCCCAGTTGAGAACCAGAATAAGAGGTGTCTCCAGGATGCTGACAAAAAGAGGGTTGTTGAATGAGCTCCCTTTTGTTTGAAATTGACACACAAAAAATTTATAACCCTGCCTCCAGTATAGGGTTAAGTGTCACTCAACATCATGCTCCAGTAAGCCCCAAAGTTACATTAAGTGATCAACCCAGATTGGAACCTAACTTAAGAGTCTAACTCCAGAGCCTATGCTCTGTGACTAAATCACTTCACTGCTATTCCAGATGGTCTTCATTAGCCTACAAGTGCTGTGAGGAAGGGGCTGGTTCAGTCTTTTTCATCATTGTATTCCTAGTATTTGGCTCATGCTTAGCAACAGGAATTCAAATATTTGAATGAATTTCCCTTCACACCTAACTCTTAAAAAAATATGCCTTATTCCCAGACCTGCATTGAGGTGTTTAAGACATTGACACAGCTTGCAGACAGCAAGTTAGGGCACTATGGGGAAGAAAATGTCTTCCATTCTGACAAGAAATAAGCAGTGTCTAACATTACATTACTATAATTAAGGTGTTTTGGGGGTTTTTTTTTGAGAATTTTGTTCCCAAAATAGAGACTCTACCATCAACCACTTCACTCCCATCAGAGTGAAGTTACCCTCCAATTGCCTCCTTATCCAGCATAACCCACACTCCTCTGAGGCCTCAAGGAGATGGAGGAAGAGAGAAAACAAATTAAGAATGGAGTATTTTTAAAAAAGTGACCAAAACTGTAAATAATTTTAATATTACAAGCTGGTATTCATAGAAAAAAACATTTCCATCAGGTAGGCTTTAAGTTTAACCTTCTCTAACCTCTATTAAAAAAGTTTTTAGAAAAAAAAAAATTTTTAGAAACTTGAATAGTTGGTACCACCTACTGGGTTATATACCTGCCTCAGCATATTTTCCTCACTAGTTGGCCCTGCTACCTTTTTGATGAAGGGAATGTATGTATAGAAACTTCTGCTCAAATGCTGTGGGAGATCCCTGGAAGGAGTAAAAAGGCTAAGCCAATGATGTTAAGATACTGTAGTAGACATTGTTATTAATAATTGATCACATATTTTCTGAGCTCAGACATAGCCTCAGAATATTTATCAATTTAGTATTTCAGGCAGTGATCATTTTCAAGAGATAAAATATTTTATCATCTCTGTCTAAAGCCAATCTCAAGGGTAGCCTGAAGGATATGGAATTCAGGGGATACCAACAACCTCCAAAGGGGAATGAGCAGAGGAATTTCTTCCCAGGATTAATATCTAGGTATGCTGTGGAGTTCTACAAAGTAGAATGGAGGGAAATCCATGAATGGGCTTTAGTCAGCTGTGTATACACATTACACATCTAATTGTGCTTCTTGGAAATCATGGAGGGAAACTATAAAGCAATTTTAGAGCTGAAAAAATTCCCCCTCTGCATGGAAACCACTTTAATGAAAATGTTCATGTTAAAGCTTATACGTTATGGACCTCAACTCCCCTTAACATAGCACCATCCATACATAATGTTTTCAATCCCACCAAGGCCCCATGGAAAGCTCAATGCAGCACATTTTCAACAAATTCTAACATGGACTTGAGCTTTAAGGAACAGGGACAAGAACGTGTTTTCTGCTCTCAAGTGTTGTCACCTCCAAGGTGGCTTAGTTGTTTACAGCCTCCATTTAACAATTGAGGGTACTTTTACAGGCTGGTCTTCAGTTTGCTACATTGATTTCTACCCAAACATTAAAACTTTTTTTTAACATCAGTTAACTCACTTTTGCTTTGTTCTTTCAGCTCGTTTGAAGATTATGAAACGGATGAACCTGCCTCTCCCTCTGAATTTGGAAACAAAGGCAATAAAATAGTAAGCTCAAGCCTTACAGAGAAATGTGGAAAGCTTCAGTCAGTGAATGAAGAATAGCTGCCAATGTCTACATGAAAGGAAGATTTGTATTTTAAATGTTTTTTTCTTGTGAAGAGATGTTCTAGTTTGCATACTGTGTTTCAAAGGCTTTGATTTCTCCAAATGTGTATCTGCACTAGGAACTTTAAAATGCTTTCATGCAATAGGTCTGGATACACACTCAACTTAGGAGATGCCTCCAGTTTGCCTCAAACCTCTTAGAGAGCTTTTCCTCAGAAGTGAATATAATGAGGTACCATCATCTTCCAAAGTCTGCGAATAAGCACTCTATACCCCTGAATGTACCAAGGATCTCTTGGGACAGAGTTCTCTGCACAGAGCAGAAGTTGCCTCAGTGTTGGCCAGCATCCCTGAGGCTCCTCAGGGGCTCCTATGGAGCCTAGAAGAAACCTTCACTTCCAGAAAACTTGAGTCAAAAAATTCTGGAACTTGAAAAAGCAGTAAGAGCCTCCAGAATTGACTTAGCCCTAGTAATAAAAGCACTGCCAAAACATCTCAGAGACTTCTTTTAATTATATGTGTACTGGAGTTCAGAAATCTTGAACTTACCTGGTTTAATGTAATTTCACAATGACCTGCCAAACTGCTAGTCACTTTACATCCTCAGGTATTTTAACCACTGGGCCTTCCAACTTTGCTGACAAGCTCTGGCAACTTCCCTATCCTGACTGTGGATCTTACATAAAATCTCAAGAAAAAACGTTTTCAGTGAAGACAAGTACAGAATTTGACTCTTACTTGAAAAAAGTCCTTTCAACTTATCTAACATTTGTTCAATTAACTATTGAATGATTTATTAATCTTCAAATTAGTTGATGCCTCATCTTCACTTCCTGTCAGGCCTACTTGAAGACTTAAAGGAATAATGATGTATGAAAATTCTTACCAGATTGTTTTCTTCACTGAATATTAGACTAGGCTAATAGTAAAGGCGTCAATCTAAACACTATTCTTTACTTCATGTTGAAAAAGAACTACTATTCCAGATTATTACCATCCACCTCAATATTTATCTTAGAAATGGAAGAAAACAGTGATACACTCATAAAAGAAAACTATTTACTATAGTTCACATGTTTGTTACAGAATCCTACATTTTTCAGCAGGCCACAGTGCAGCCAAATCCTACAATATCCTTGGAAGAAACCATTACAAAGGATGGATAGTTGATATAATTTCTAATATAAGTAAAATAATTTGATATAAGTAAAAGAAATGCCCCAAATAACTTTTTAATATCCTTCTCTGCCAAAGTCATAAACTTTTCCACTGGATTTTTTTTTAACCACAGTCCTAAAAGTGTTAGACTACTTTCCCTTTCCACCCCACCCTTACTGGTATAAAGGCCAAGCATTAAAATAATCAAACCTGGGGGGCTATGATAGGCAAAAAGTGGAGGAAAGGAGAATTTTAGGAGATATACCATCAACCAGTACAGTGAAACAGTAATTCTAGCAATCCTGCCTTTCACAAGCTCCTCACAGTTTTGTTGTTTTATCTTCATGATTAGAACTGATCTTCTATTTATTTGTTACAGACTATTACAATAGTCCACACAAAAGAATCAAAAGCTTAAAAGTGACTAAATTTTTAGCAAACACTACATGGAGTAACTTAAACACACAGGAATAAACTGTTAGGACTTCAATCACTTATATGGTAACATGAAATTTACTACAGATCCCATCTGGCCTTTACCAGGGAAGGAAAGCAATTCTTTTTATTTCATATAGAAATACAAGAAAGGTAATACTTTTTTTAGAAGCCAGATATGGTTTAAAGGTTTTATTATCCATAATGATCCAAACTATTTCTAAGATTCATCAAAAAGTAAAAATAAAATTCAGTTTTACAATATATTTTTTTCCTAGGTGGCTTTACTTTTTTACCTTGTTTCTCCTTACTGAAGTCCTCTTTCACTTTGATCAATATTTGGTTTTTGAAGTCTAATCTGTTATAAAAGTACAGCCATCAATACCATTCAAGATAAACTATTTTAACAGGTTACCCAAATTTAGCACATTTTCAGGAATTACAAGAATGTGTTTCAGTGTACTCCTTTCTTACAGCTAAATGCAAGAAATGTGAATTCTGAGGAACTAGGATAGAATATATTTGGCTTTCCAGTGAAGATCATGGTAAATATAATCATTACTGCCAAACTGGATATTTCAAGTTGTTACAATATCCCAGGCCCCTTGATAAAAGATAAGTTGAGGGTTATCCTGATCTTAATTCTATTCCGTGAAGTATGAGTTTCATAGCATAACATTAATTGCCAAGGTAATCAAACTAATAAAATTCCATATATTTTCCCTGTATCTTTGTCACTGTGCACCAAAGTGTTTATAAAACTCTAGATTAATCAAATGAGGTAAGTCATTTGCTCAGCTTTTGGAAATGTTAAGGTGTGTTTTGAGTGGAAAAGGCTGCATGACTTAATTTTTGTTTTTGTTTTTCCCTTTTTGCAAAACTAAATAAAGTTATCAAATATGAATCATGTTCATTAAGATAATCACTATACACTTTGGCTTTTAATCACACTTGCACCTTATTTTTGTCTGAAAAAGTAACACTGTAAACAAGCTTGAGTTTCAAAGAGAACTGTTTTGAACCCCTGGGGAAAATATAAAGAAAGGTCTGGAAAGATATACTGAGAAGTGATTTCTTCTGGTGACAGGGAGGAGGACCAGGGCTTGGGAGTGAGGGGTTCACAGGGATCAAAGGGGACTTCAGCCTTGTCTATAATGTATTATTTTAAAAGAATGTGTAATTGCATGTTATTGGTCACAAATTTTAATTTTTTTAAAGGAAAAAATACTTTTCAAGTATTAGATTTAGAAACTATACTTTGAACTTAATATTTTCTAAAGCATTTTACATGTGTTATACCTATGATAAGGGAAAGGACAATTTGTTTTTCATGTGTCATAAAACTTGTACTTTTCTTAAGCAAAGTCAATATGGAATTGTTTTAAGAAAACTAAGAACACAATGAAATAAAAGGAATTCTTTATCCTAGGACCATACTATACCTCTACATGGCAATGCAGACTTTATCTGAAGCTAACCAAAAAGATAAAATGTCAGCTCTAAAACTATTACCTAAGGTAAAAAAGATCATCTGATCATTTATAACAATAACTCAGAGGAACACTCAGGATGTCATATTAAATGCTATTGTTTTGGTGGTTTCAAATCCTGATGATGTAAATCCAGTTACTTCAGTAATAATCTCTCAATCATCCCTAGTTAGCCATTGGTCAGCATTCCTAAATAACTCAGGGTATAAAGAAAAACAATATAAAAATAAAGGCACTGTAAATTAATTACTCTTCCCCCAAATGCATATAATACAGACCATAACACAGCATGCTATCCCAAACTCCTCAGTATTCTACAACATAGAATTAGAAAACTATCATTTATTGATAGATTTAAGATGTAATACAGGTTTCAAAAAATGTGGCAGTGAGAATACCAGCATAAAAAAGAGAAACTTGTGCTAAAAACAACCTGAATTCATCATTGGCAATATTACATTAACAATCAAGGCCCTCACATACTAATGATTTCCACTTTTTCTATATTGCCAACCTCCCATGCATCAAGAAACACAAGATTATCAAACTTGGGAAGCAATAAAGTACTCTATGAATTTTAAGATCATAATATTAGGAAAGTTTGGGAAATTTGCAAAATATATCCTCATCATCCATGTGTACAATCTCATTTCTAGTCATTTTTGCAGTGATCATTTGTGAATAAAGAACAGATTTACAAGTTTATATAGCAGGGTATCTGAGTTCAACACAAAACTGTTACAAACTTTAGGTAAAATACATGTTTCATAAGACACTGCTAACACTTAAAGGAATTAAATAAAGTTCCAAAACTTGAAAAGCAAATAAAGACAAGACAACTAAGAAGCATTTTCCACCATTTACTCTTGTTATCAAAAATAGTTCAACTCTTCTTGCAAAACAAAAACAAAATAGTACATACCAGACACATACATCACATTTTTCTTCCTATGGCTTTAGCCCACCCCCGCCCCACCAGAAGAGACCAGGAAAAAAAAAAAAAAAGCCCAACAACAACAACAAAAACAACTCTACCTGACCACATTCACAGAAAATGACACCAGGATACACTACAAAACAGAAGGAGGTGTCATCTGCTCTGTGTCCAAAGGTTTCTTCTCCATGTCTTGTACTAGGCGAGTAACCATCATTGAACATGCTGTGTGCCAAATCAAAACATAACTTCAACATATGTCAGATCTGACTAGAGATGGTGAACGTAGTAGAAATTGGAAATTTCCCAGCAGTATTTCTTTAAGCACTGTCAGAGCAGCAGCTCTTCTTTTAAATCATAAGGTTATTTCTTTACACCTAGTCAGTCCTTGTTTTATTTGGGCTGTGCTCTTTCAAGCAACTGACTAGATTTCCCTTCAACAGAATGTTTGTGACTCACTTCTCTTCCCTCATAAAAATTAAAGGGAAGAAGTGCATTTAAACTGAAACATAGTTTGTGCTTTACATGCAAAAGAGCATTCTAAAGAAAATCCTCCTAGCTTCAAACTACCTAAATGCACAGGCTTCATAAAAAGGCATTTTTGTTAGGCCTCTATAAAGCTTTCATAATGAATAGCACCCTAAAAAAAAATAGGAGCATATTCAAAATAAAGTCTGTGGCAAATAAACTACTAGAGGAAAGAAAAATCAAAGAAGTGGCCAGTGGCAGTAAGTATAATGCATAAATCTGGATAAGTTTTGGGGCATTATTCTAAAATTATTTTAAATCCCAATTCTAAATAAAATATTTTTATAATCTTTTAATAATTCTGTCACATACTATATAATCTAAATTCAATTACCTTCAGAATAAAACTGCTCTTCTCCACTTCATTTATCCAATCAGAACATTGCTCAAAGTGAAGGATTTAGAATTTTTTCCCTAGAAATGAGTCAGACTTAACTAAAAAAGGGGCTCAACTCAGAAGAGTTTTGTAGCATAAACAGCTAAACATTTGCAGTCTGACAGAATTTCAGTTTATTTACTTTTAAAAACAGATTTCTTAAACATTCTAATGAGGGGGAAATTTTCTTTCATAATACTGCTGATTTAAGAACTGCTACATACACCAGTAGCCAATTTTCATGATCAGAAATGGTATTATGTCAGCACAAAGGTTGAGCTGGACACATCAGCTTTTCAACAGGAGAAACATCAATGGCATCTGAAGGCAGCACTGAGTTTCCTGAACAAACTAATGGCTACTTTTCCACAAAAAATTAGCACAATCTTTATGGACTGACTAGATACCACTTCCTTACATTTAATCATAAACTTTGATTATGCACAAAGCATGACCATAAACAATGAGGTTAATGTTATTTTCCTTGCCAAAGTTCATTTTGTATAAATCAGTTGCATCAGCATTTGTTCTCAAACTATGAGGTTCTGTAAGAACTAAGGACATATAGTTGTAGGGTTACTCCTCCATTATCTGCAAACTATTTCCCCGACACTAACACATATAACTTAGCAATGAAAACACTTGATACAAGTGATCTATATGCAGGAGCTCCGGCAAGTTAAACCAACAGAACCATAGCTGCCGTGAAACTGTAGCTATTTCCCTACCAGGGGTAGGTTTAAAAGACCCACTGATTTAACAGTCGAATCTCATGTCTATAGCTTCATCCAAACTTTTATCATCATGTGTACTGGCAGCTAAAAACGTCGTTACTGGGGACCCTGTGACATTAATTACACTGGTGCTGGTACTAGCGTTACGCACAGCAATGCTAGTCACGTTAATGCCCAAAGTGAGCCTGGTCTGCTCCAAGGCCTTTTCTGGCACAGCAAATGCCTCCAGCTTCTTCTCCCCATTGGCCATATAGGAGTTTTGGCAGCCACGACATATACAATCTAAGCAGGCTTTGCGGTTAGAGTAGCAAGGGCAGCGTTGGCCTCGGCATGTAAGAACACTTGGATTTTGAGTAGCACGCCCACATTTACACCCTTTCTTTTCCTGGGGTTTTTTGTACACAGTCTTGGTAGGACTTCCTGGCATAAAATGATGACTAGGTATCTTTTCCTTTACTGCTTTGTCTTTTTTTAGAATACCTGGCTTGGTTTTAGAGTGAGATTTCTTGGATCCATGTTCATGACTCTTTTTCATGTTTTTAGTAGATAAAAGTACAGTTTTGCTGATTTTGGGCGTCGTGCCTCCATTGGGAACAGTTGCTATAGGTTGAAGAGAAATTTTGCTCTCCCGTTTCACTGTCACAGGAGCAGATGCCCCTAATGTTGGGCCTCGGATAATGGTAGAAATTGGAAGTGGCTGAACTTTCTCACTGTCGCTTTCTGATCTGGATCGTTTTCTATTCAATTTTGCTACCTTCGGAGTTGCTGCTGTACATGATAACCCATGAAGTGCAGGACTGGTAGACATAAAAACATTATGGCTAAGAGACTGGGAAGAAAGCTGTAGAAAAGGTCCATTGGATACAGTGGCTTCCAAGTTCGGCTGCAAATTAGGGCAACAAACCTCTGTATTTGAAACAGTTTCTAAGCTGCGGAGTACTTCCTCAACACTCAGTAACAGAGAGTCACCAGGTTTTATATCTTCACTGAAACTGCATATATCAATGCCTGTGGAACATAAGTCAGTGGCTACCGTGTCACAGACAGGTGGCAGGCTGTCAGACAGATCCTCAGTTTTTATGTCAACAGTGTTACATACATCAATCGTATTTGAATGTTCAGGTGAAGGAATATTTATACCAAATCTATCTATTGAAAGCCCATTATAAGTAGGCAAACCATTGATAACAGAACTGCCAATAGCAATGCTGAGAGTGCTTTCAGACATTGGAGATAAACTAGCTTGAGGATCCGTCGTGGGTTCTGAGGTTGAAGGTAAAGGGGAATGTGTCAAACACAAAGTAAAGGATGAATCTGAGGGTTTTTCTGTCTCCTCACAAAACAATGATCCATCATTAAGCAAAGCCAAAATATCAGAAGAACAGTCAACTGCTTCTATTATATCCCGTGCCAAAGTAGTCTGTGTTATATATTCGCATAATTTTTTGTAGCAGTTCACTAGGATGCTTAACTGCTTGTTTTCCTCAAACTGCTCATAGTCTTTGCACCAGCTACATGAAGGTTTCATCATCATTTTCTTGCCTTTACAAGTTTTGCAGACATAGTGTTGACAGGTGGAGTTGGTGGGTGCAATAGGATCTTGTAGCAAATGTCCTAAGGGGGAAAGGAGGAAAGCAAAGATTTTAGTAAAATAAATATACAGTTTCATATCCTGGAGTTAAGATGATATTGTAAGTAATCTATCAAAAGTGAGATGGATTAAACTCACTAGACCAGATAATAATAAATATATCTTACAAGAAACTAAAAAATATTCAATAGCTCACTTCATTTCCATGCCATATTCCCCATTCCTTTATCTCAAACCAGAAACTTCCCTGA